ATTGGATCAAAATAAATTGTTTAACAAATGAGATTTTTCAAGGGTTGAAAAAGCTTAAAAAGTAAATTTTTTTATGTTTTATAGTTTTGTTGTTACTTTTATAGTCACATATTAATATTTTATGTCTAAATAAAATTATGTTGAAAAAATGTTTAACTGTCATATCTTAAATTTGGGTCTAATTGTTATATTCATTTAAGTATTTGATTGCCTTTTAGATACATTAACTATATTGGTTTAAAATCTAGGTTATAATTTGTGTATTTATATTTTTGTTTTTATGTATTGGGCATAAGTCTTGGATATATTGTACTTCTTCTGTTATATATAAATATATTCTTAGTTTTTCCAAAAAAAAAACATTAAATATATGTTAAAAATATAAATTTTTTAATAAAATGACTATGAATGTTAGATTAATTTAAAAGCTAACTTACATGATCCATATTAACAAAACATTAAATTCAATTGTTAATTTTTAAAAATATTTATTAAAAAGTAGTAATTTTAAAATTAAAATTTTAATTTTTTAATGAGAATAAAGACTAATATATAATATATTTAAAATATAAATTATTCCTCAATTTTCAATATCGAACAACTGTTAATTTAGGACAAATGTAGTAGGAAAAAAGAGGCAAAAATTTACTTTTTGTCTTTTACCTTAATAAGTTTATATGTTTTAACTAATCACATTATAATATGACACTTTTAACATTTTACCTTATTAATTTTATAAGTTTTAACCCATCATTTTATAATATGGTATTTTTAGCCCCTCACATATATGAATTAAAAAAAATAACTCTCGCTTAATATCAAATTATAATATTTTAGTGTTCCGTTATAAAAAAACATAAAATTTAAATTTTATTTTATTTGTTAATTTTATTAACGGAATGCTAACGGAACGCTAACGAAAAGTTAAAAATCAATTAATAAAGTTAATAATTAGTTAACATAACTAATAGAATGTTATAACCTGATCTTAAATAAGGGTTATTTTCTTTAATTTGTATAGGTAAGAGGTTAAAAGTATCATAATATAAAATGAGGGACTAAAAATGTCATAATATAAGGTAAGGAACTAAAACCTACAAATTTATTAAGACAAAAAGCTAAAAGTGTTATAATATAAAATGAGAAATTAAAACCTATAAATTTATTAAGGTAAAGGACTAAAAATAGATTTAACCGAAAAAAAAAAAGGTCCTACTTAAATACGGTAAAAGAAAAAGGCAAAAGAAAAGACGATGGCTTATCTGAGAATAAAACAAAAAAATGTATAAGGGTGGGTCTAACTACAAATATCCTTTTCTTCCTCAAGAAGGATATCGTGGATCTGTCCCCAACCTTAGAGAACAACCCCGTCTGCTTAAAAATGATGTCAATCACAACCGGAATTGGGTCCAGAATTTTCACTAAACTTTTCAACGTCACTCTCCAAACTTCTATTTTCCTTTTTTTTTTATTTAAAAATATTATTTTTATAATTTTTTAACTAAAGATACTAACTCTATGTATGTTTGTCATGTTAGTATTATTATTTAATTAATTTTTAAATAAAAAAGA